GTCGTTTGTAGGACCTGCTTCCAAGTTTTCCAAATTCTGGCAGCGGCAAATGTAGGGTTTATATTTATTTTAACTAACATTTATTTTAAGTTTAAACTATCTTTCCTGTCAAGCCTTACTTTCCCCTGGAACTGCCAATGCCAGAATATGTAAATTTTAGTAGAACGCGCAAGGATTCAAATTATCAGCGGAAGTATTCTGATTTAAATAGAAGGAAACGAGTTCGGTGTGATATTCTTACTTCACGAGCGCGGAGGTAGTTAGCGAGAAATTGAAGAACCCCGCGTTTCGGCCTATGTGCTTGGCGGGAAGTAGTGTTAATCGTTCAAGTGAGCTTCAAGTCTGCTGAATTAGCAGCGGTGTTGTAAAACGCGGTGAGTTAGTTATTTTAGAGAGCCTCGTAGTTAGAGTCTTGTCTTTAGTTTCTTTTCAGGTTATTATTTTTATTTGACCGCCGAGTTGGCGCCGTCTGTAAGCGTCAAGAGCACGCAATTGTAATTTATTACGTTGAATAAAAAGGGACTTAAACCCTTTACAAGACTCTGTGTTTTATCCTGTTTTCACAGTCACCTCTTGGTTGCGTGCAAGTTGGAGGCACGCAACGTTACAAACTGTAATCGGGTTTTTCGATTTGCTTTACCGAGAATAGTTTTCTTCCAGCTATGAACCCTGAAAGTTATATTTCATTAAAATATTTTTGATAGTTTGATCTATTTCAGGTTTCGGCGGTATCATAAAAAGACTTGTGCTAAAACGAAAGACCAGATGTAAAATTCTTTATCAAAATTTACTTACGGCATGAAAAACGGAAATTTATTGTGACGTAAATGTACTATGGCCTATTTTTATTGTATAACAGAAAGTGATCAATTTATACCTTTGCAAATCAATAGAGAATGACTCAAACATCTCTCCAAGAGTATAAAGAAAATTTGGTTATCCAGTACCAGTCAATACGTCGTCAGAAATACCACACGTAAACTCGGATCGTTGTGTCTGTTTGAGGGGAATGGAGTTAGGAGATGTGGGGCGAGGATTGGAAATATAACAACGTAGTTTCATCGCTTATCTTCTTACTTACCAGAGTTCATATGAAGACAAAGATAAGCTGAAAAGAATAACAGTCAGCTTAATGCTTTTTGAATGCAATTGTCATATAATACTCGCTAGGAATTAAAAAAAAAAAAAAAGATTTCATTGCCAAAAGGCATAATAGATTGTTCGTAGTACTTTTGGCGGATACTAGGTAACTAACAAATACCAAAAGTTTTATTAAAGATCTTGTAATCATAGCTGATTTTCAAGCAACGAAAAGTTAACCAATATAAAAGAAGAAGAAGAATATATGAAGAAGAGTTAACCAATATAAAAATAAACTTACATATTATCAAAACAATATTTTGACTCCATGTTTAAAAATAATCCTACTCTTTAATTGAGACATCGTAAAAGAAATTGAACTTTGCCGCTACGAAGTCATGAGTTACACATTAGTATCTAGAGTTAAATTTCTTGAAAAATTGAGAAAGGAGATAGATAAACAATGTATGCCATTTAATATTCTAGCAAAATATCCTCGTGTGGCACTCTTAGACTACTACGTCTTCGGATTGATAAAATGGATATTTTCTATATATTGATCAGAGACTATAAACAGACTATGGAAAACAGTTTAAGAGGAGTGGAGAAAATTTCTCGCGGTAAAATTAAGAAAACTTTTTTGAAAATCAGGTGAGGAAATTAGGTGATGTTTTGAAAATCAGGTGAGGTGGTGATTGACAGTTTTTGAAATCAAGGTACGGATTAGTTAACGAAAAAAGGTTATGTTGCGGAGAACACAAAAATAATATTTATGTTGAAATAAAGCATTTCCGACTGAAATTGTTAAATGCAAGCGAACACGCTTTGTATTTGTAAACTGCGAACACTCTTCGTATTTGAAAGATAATGAATTAATTAATAAGTCGTCAATTTTCATGCTTGTGCTGTTGCATCGCGTTTCGAAAGCGTAGCAATGTATTTAACTTGTCAGGACTGCTGTTCCTTGTAACTAACTGCCTTTGGAAACATCTGCCAATCCTGAATGGGAGCAGGGAGCTTACTGAAACTATGCTCGTGTGTGTGTAGGAGATACGACAAAGATGAGAAGGGTTAAATTTATTCTTTATTTCTCACAGTTTATAGCCGTTCCCGCACTTCGGGATACGAAGACCAGCACTTATGGTCTAAAACGTAGAAAATAAGAAATACACTAACTTAATAAGAACTAAGATATTTTACAAAGACTAGTAACGAAAAGATTGGCCTTTTAACTCTACGTATGTAGTGAACAAAACGCAGGAAACTACAGATACAGGTAGTAGCTAGATCAGCACCTCCATAGTACCACAGGTAATTGAGGTATTGCTGAACCTAGCTAACTGTTAAACTTTCCACCCCAATTTTGAGGGAGAACACTCCGGGGGTGGGAGTCCGAGGATCTCCTTCCACTCTTTTTTACTATCAACCCCTTGAGAGTTATCAGTTTCTGAGATAACTGATTTCTGGTATTAATAATGTACACAAATCATACTGAGAAAAGACTGTCCTTGAAAAGTTCAACAACTATTGCTTCCAAAAGTCTAAATGTATGGACATATGTCCTTTCTAAGGCGGAAGGTGTAATAAGCAAGTCTTTGAAGATCTCGTCCATCAGCATTGCATAGAAAAATGAAATTTAAAAAATTAAATAAATATATTTTAGTAATATATGGAGATGAATAAGCATTAGATATGACAAATATCCAGTCCGAGTCATTGGATATGTATTAAGAACGTCTATGATTTTGGCCCTAAGGTGTCTGTTCTTTTCTGTGTATTTCTTAAATGGTATTAAATTATTGTTAGGATTAATCAGATGTTTACCGTCTGTTAGATTACAGTAAAAAATGCAATGGTCAGGGTCACCCTTTCGCCACATATGTAGAGATCCGTGGGGCACATGTTAATTCTCGTCGTGCGGCCATAAATGAGTGCCTTAATGTCATTGAAAAATCACGCTCAATGTACTCATCCAGTTGCAATCAGAATCCTGAAGTTGAATCATTCTTTAAAAATTCGGGGATACCAGATTCTATATTCGTGGATCCCTGGACACGTTGCCATTAAGGAGAATGAATTGGCGGATATTGCAGCTAAAATTGCAACCACAATGTACAATCTTCAGATTCCACTAGCAGACATCAAAGGGTTTGTCAAAAGCAAAATCCTCAGCAAATGGCAGAAGCAATGGGGTGACAAAGTATGTAACAAGCTGAGAAATGTAAAACCCACCATTGGATACTGGCCATGTATGGCTAATAGAAAGGAAGATGTCCTCTTGACTCGACTGAGAATTGGCCATTATCGCCTGACCCATGAGTATCTTCTGAAGGGAGAAGAGAATCCCAGCTGCCCAAACTGCAATGCAGATCTTACAGTCCATCATATCTTGGTGGAATGCCAGAGTTTTAATTATTTTCGCCAAAAACATTTTAATTGTTCAGAACTGGACTTAGGAAATTTAATTGGAAAAGCACATCATCGTAATTTGTTTCAGTTTTTAAAAGATATTGGCTTTTATATTAGACTTTAACCTGTTTTTTTAAAAGATATCAGCTCTTATCATAGACTGTAATCTGTCTCTTCTTACCTAAGCTGGAAGTTTTTACAAATGACCAATTGCATTGTTACCATTTGTCTGGCGCAGATAACCTTGACAGGTTTTGTGCCAAATTACAATAATCCAATCCAATCCAATCCGTGGGGCACATGCCTCTGTCATGGAAGTAGGTAGGGAAAGGACCGTGCCCTGTGATATACTGATTCAGAACATGGTCATGTGCAGTGCCTCTTTGTCAGTTCTTGGGAAAAAAATCGTGGACACTTCTGCCTTGCAATGCAGAATCCCATTCTTGCCACTTTGAATCGACAATTGCATTCAGAGTAAATTTTATGTGAGACCTGAGCCATGGGACATGAATCACCTCACTGTTGATGTTAGTCGATGCATCAACAGTGAGGGAGTCAAGGAGGTCAGCAGCCTCGTGCCGTCGTTCCCGTTGTAGACTTTCACCCAATTGAGGAAAAACTGGATTTCTGGGTGGGCGCTTATTATATTTTGAATATCCTGAACCAGTTAGTTCTCATTGTTTCTGTCCTTCAGGGCATATAATGCAGATTGACTGTCTGAACAGATTGCCATTGCCCTGAAATTATTTGATATGGCTTTATTTACTGCAGATTGAATTGCTGACAGCTCAGCTTGATAAACAGAATTTTCTGGAGATAACTTTCCTTGCCATATTGTTGGAATAGAGGAAGATGAATAGATTATTGACGCTGCGCCCACTTCTCCATGAATTTTAGAACCGTCTGTAAATGCTCTTGGACATTCTTGACTATTGATTGCTGATGCGTTCGTATTGATTATTAAATTACAATACTTTGCAGGGTGGTAAGTCACTGGTATGGCTGGAGAATCATATTTTGAGGCATAAAAGGTGGTGCCGTTCAGGTAAGCAGCTACTTTCAACTGGAGTACTTTGGCTTTTATTGAATCCTTCGTCGCAATTAAATGAAGGGGAGGTATCCCAGTGAGAATGCATAGAGAGTAATTCGCTGTAGTTCTATAGGCTTTACAGGTGCTCAGGAGAGAAGGTCGCAGGAAACTACAATACGTCTTCAAGTATCAGCGAGAATTAAGTTCTGGTCTTAAAGGCAGACATGAACTGACTGAAAAGCACGCCCGTGGTAAGGCAGCGAGAAGTCTCAATCTAACTCTTTTGGCTAAAAGCCATATCTTAAATACTTAACAAATTACAAGCTTATATGCATAAACAAATCTAATCGCGCTTATTTTTGCCGGAAATGGAAAATAAGAGATGATAGCAAAGTTTTAAAATAAAATAAATGTTAGTAAAACTTAAAATCCTTACAAACGGATACATTTTTTTTTCTACCTGTAGATTTCTCACAAACAAAAATTAACTGTTTGTTTATTATTGTTTTTCAGGTGTGTTAATTGGTGCGAAGATGGATTTAAAGGAGAGAAGAGTAATTAAATCAACTGTCGCTCAAGATTTTGCAAGGAAAAACAACCTTCAGTACTTTGAATGTTCTGCGGTATGGCATTAAAAAAACATATTTTCAGAAAAATATTTTAAATAATAATTAACTACTGCACTGATAAGTCGGAGAATTTTATTTAATAATTAATATGCATGATAAATATTTTGTGATGTGAATGGATTTAACATTTATTATGATACTTAAACATTTAGCTTATTATTGTTAATTTTATATTCAGATTTGATCTTTAGTTTGTTTATTTATCATTTTTTTAACATTATGCTTCTCTCCTAGATAATTACCAACTAGTAATGAAGGATTTAATTTATAATTATTAGAAAAATTTAGAAGTTTTACTCCACCTTCGAATATTTATTGATGTTACTCTTAATTTATGTTTTCCTCTTCCTTCGAATCCCCGAAGCCATATAGATTTAATTTTTTTGTAAAATAAATTTGTATTGACACCACTTCGTGACCAAAAGGTTTCACGATTTCATGTTCTTTACTAATGATTGATTCTACTGTAAATTAATCTAATTGAATATTTGGATTAATTAATAATGACTTTAAATGTGCTTGAGTTTGCTAAGGAAAGTTAGTTTTTGCAAAGAATTTTCTCGGGCAAGTGTTCTCAGTCGAGATGGGGAATTCCCTCCAGGAAAAATTTCACGATTTCGAGGTGGGATGGGGTGGGAAACTTGTTCAACTTTAGATTACATTAAAACTGAAATAAAAGCTTATGGAAAATCGGTCATAGCGTAGTTGAAATCAGCCTTTTTGTTGATAAAAAATGACTCAATAAGCTAAGAATCATCATGTAAGCGTAGGGAATCCTATTGAAACTTTTCCTTATTTATGTTTATTAAATGTAATGATAGTTTCAATACTTATAAAAATACAATAAATCTTAAATTTATATATATCTTTACTCACCAGTGGACGAGTAGATAAGATAGCTGAACACTGGTAGATCAACATGAATTTATATTTCCATTTCGGTAAAAGTCCCAACTCCTTGGATGTTTTCGGAGTTTTCAGCGTGTATAACATATACTGAAGAGCCATTAGATTATGACCACCTGTTTAATATGAAATAGGATCACCTTCCGCCGTCAAAACACCTGATATCGAGAGAGGCATTGACTCAACAAGGTGCTGATAGGTAATCTGAGTTATCTGGTATCAAGCACTTACTAACTGGTCCTGCAATTCCCGCACATTGCGATGTGGTAGCATGGTGACATGAATTTGGGTTTCCAGGTGGAACACAAGTGTCCGGTTGGATTCATGTCAGGTGAATTTAGAAGAAAGAGGTGACTTAAAATTCACCAGAAGATTCTTTGAGCCACTCCCTGACTATTCGCCCTTATAACAGGGTGCATTATTTTGTTGGTAAATGCCATTTCCTACAGGGAATATTGTTGCCATGTAGTGATGTTCACATAGCGCACAAACTTTAAGGCTTATTCCATGAGGTTGGTGGATCCTAATGTGCCCCATGAAAACATTGTCCACCACCGTCTTTCTTAATTTAAGAACACATTTAAAATAATTTAATTTAAATAAAAGTATATGTATTTTTCCAGTTTCGGAGAATGGAGGAGATAATTGTCTAGCAATGGTAAAAGGGGTCCGTGGAGCAAAAGAGGTTGTAAACCACTGTATAGAACCTACAGCTGTCGACAAAAACCTAGTGAACAAACACTCCTTTAAGATTATACATACGCACTTTTTTGATATTTTAAAACTCATTTCCTTTTCTTTTTCTCTCTTCAAATTTATCCATGTTGCATAAATTATGAACATATAATATTTATACATCTTATTGCATAATATAAGTGCATGTCACATTATGTATGTTATTGCATAAATTATGTGCACAGCCAGTTTATGTATACGTTAACAAATATATTACAAATGTAAACATACCAGCTAATGCAAGTTACGAAATTTTTAAAAATATGACTATAAAAATAATGTAATTTTTTAAAAATTCTTAACGAATGAACCCATGAATTAAAGCAAGGAATAGTTATACCATAGAAAATGTATTAATGAAACAAATTAGTGTTATGAACAAATTATGAAAATACTATTTATTTAATATCATTATGACATATTTTATGTTCTGAAATTATTGCATTATTATTTTTTATAAGATTTAAGAAAGGGATTTATTAGATTATTTATAAGATCATTTCCATCAGATTTGGTATTTATTTGGCTGTAAGTTATATGCTATTAATATGAGTTATTTATTTTTCAAATTTTAAACAGAAAGAAAATTCTGGTGTGGAAGAACCTTTTTTCTACCTTGTCAACGAGTGGCACAGGATGTATTTAGAAAAAACTGAATTCTTTAAAACTGTTTCCTGAAATTTTCTATTTGATGCAATAATTCATATTTTATGTACAGCGTTTGTTGTGTAATAAAAATTGTAACTTAAAAATTTGTGTCAAATTTCATTCAAACGATCATTATAATTTATGAATTCATATGCAAGGTATGGCTATGGTATCTCGTTTGTAGTTAACAGAATACATTACTGGAAAACAAACCCTCAAAAAGGAAGGGAAAAATAGCAGTTTCAATGGTGGCTTAATAAACAGGAATAAGAAAAAAGGAGAAAATAAAACAAATTTTGATTTAATTCGACATTATTTTTCATATTACCTTGTAAAGTCTAGTGTTCTGGAAACCTCGAGTTTTTAATAGCAGTCATTTAAATAGTGACATTTGATTGAAGATGCGAATTTTGATTTTTAACACTGTGTACTAATTGTTTCACAGATCTTGACAAAGAAAAATTGAATAACTTTTGAACGGAAAGAGACTATTTTACTTCAGACTTTCCGGATTCGCATATGAGAGTAAAGGAAACAGAGATTAGTTTCTTAAAATACTTACAATTTAAGGGAACTGCGAAAGTCTCACAGCTTGAAGTTTTCGATAATCCGCTTGAATTGGACTATTGATACCGATTCTTATGACGCTTGCAGCTCTTCTATGGTTTTTAATCAACGTTTCTAGACTTTATCTTTTAAGACAAATAGTTTTAATGAAACCATGAGAAAAAGTTAGATGGCGATTAGTCAGGTCTCTAGAGGATGTTAAGCAAGTCCTTCGTTGAAGTGATTTGGGAAGCATCTTGCGATGACACCATAGTCATAGTAAATTCTGTGCTTGCTCAAGACGTCACCTGTTGAATTTCGAGATGTTCCTTGAGCCATGTGTTTTGAATACAGTATTCGTAGTAGGCATCAAGAATTAACTTCGTTCTCAAGAATTCAATCTAACATTCTGAATGTAACGTTTAAAGGGTCTAAAGCACTTCTGAGGGTTTCGGCAGGTCTGTGCTCAAAAGCTTTGAGTAAAAAAACACGGTCTTCGATCGAATATCGGTCCATTTTAGCGTAAAGAAAAAATTGAATAGACATAATCAGATTCCGTAAATACGTTTCCTTGGCCCCCTGCGCAAGTGCACAGAATATGGCGATACTACCTCAGCCCGTCTACCCTTAGGGTTGTTTATCATATTGGCTGAGACCTGTACTACAAGAGTTTCGGCCCTGTTGCCACAAAATTCACGAAATGGGTTTCTAATTTCCAATTGTGCGCAGGTTGTATTGTGGGCAGTCATACAGATTTTGTAGGTTCATACTTCTTCTTTTATTCTTAATGATTTGAGAATTAAAAGTACGCCTTTCTTGAAAGGGGTTAAGGACGGCAAGGCTTCGAGACAGATTTACAGTTTCGGTTGGAATATCTTTTGCTTCTTTTTCCCGTCTTATAAGGTGTAGAGATGTCAAGGTTAGTCGCATAATGGATAATTTAAGCTCTGGTATATTACAGGTATATTTCTTACCTTAAATCTGCCCATTGACGAGTTATTCAAATAAAAGATAGCAAGACTCATTGAAACACCTGATAGTTTACTGTTGAGATGAATCAATAGTTTTGCAATGTTTTGGTCAGTTTATTTCTTAACACGTAACTTTATGAAAGCTGTCTAGCATCCGAATTATAAACATAGTACTATACCATCTTAAACTGTCTACTAGATCTTCGATGTCGCGGCGTTACTAATCTTTGTACTTGGAGGCGAAGGACTCTTTTCTCCTCAGCTTCCACGTCCTCCAAACTATCAAAATTCCGCCTGCGAAAGAAATAGGCCATCCATAGAGGGAGCAAGTAATGATCCGATAATGCAAGATGCTGGTGGTAGCATCAGCTCACTTGCTTGAAGCTCCAAGAGTTTTCGTCTGGTCATGACAGCAATATGAGGTTTAGTGTTATCTTGCTTTAGAACACATTTGTTTACCAGCGCCGGATACCTTAGCTCTAAAACAGCATATACTCTCTCCTTTTGTTTTCAGAGTACATGGGTATTACTGAAACGACCCTTTGCAAAGAAATCGTAACAGATTATCCTGCCGAAATTCCATCAGATACAAAGCATCACACTATGTTCAAAGCGTCCATATCTGACACATATCATTACATTGTATTCAAAGCGTCCATATCTGACACATATCATTACATTGTATTCAAACCGTCTACATTGAATAGATGCAGTGAATAAGGATGAAAAAAAGTACAGTTCTATAGCTTTCGTTCTCATCTGCCGATCAAAAATTAAGCAATTTAGAATATGTATCAGATTTGTGCATATCATTGCCCAAACATACGTACTTTGACACAAAAATCGGACATTTTTCTGAAATTATATGCTAAGTGTTTCCTCTGTTTCAATTTTTTATCTCAAACTATGCCAAAGTGTCAAGTGTATGCTTTGAATAAATACAGTTACCGACTGTAAAGTTTGTAAAGTTTATAAAGTTGCAAAACGGAATGTCGTATTGTTATACAAAATAACATTTTCAGATACCAGAAGAAAAGTCTGTTTTTAAAATGAAATTCTTAATGAAAATTCCAAATTTTAATCTTTTAAAGATCTGACTATACATCTAAGAACAACCTATACCACAAAATTCTGATTTTAAACCTAAAAACACAAAGTTCATAAATAAGCCACATGTGTAAAAGGAGATTAAAATACTTCTCTGAATAAGTAATCGAACTTAATATGCATTATACCCTTTCTAAGAAGACCACCTTCACTGACGTTAAAGGTCATTTGAGACCGTGAGCGGTCGTATTAGAGAAAATTTCAAGTCTTATATTTCTCTCTTTACTTATCAAATGAACTTCTAATTCGGTGTAAATGGCTATATGAGTGAAACCATACACTTGAAGAGCATATACTAAGTTATATTCGCATTCTAATGTATATAATCCTTTCCTTCGTAAAATTTCTGGTATAAAAGCAAGCAAAAATACATTTGAAATTATATTTTACAGAATTTAATTAAATACAGTAAAAATAAATCTGAAAGTCGTATGTTTTAATACACAAGTGAGAACGTCTTAATATTAGTGGAGAAGGGGTGAAAAAATATTCATCTTAACATTAATGGAGAAAGAAAGAAATATATAAGTCTTCAGTTGACCACTTCTCAAATGAAGCTAAACTGATGCACCTTTTAGTTAACTCTTTAGTTAAAGTGACACACGTATTCCAAAATGCAATGAAATCTATCGGGGCAATCACTACCGTAAGAAAATGGCATATGAAAGTAATTAGTATTTTTGAGAACATAATCTTGCATTTGTTAAACATCACTTATACCGAAGACTTAAGTCATCTGGAATAGTGAATGCTCATCTTAGAGAGTTTCACAGTTATTAAAATTTAGCCTATTTCCGAAGTCATGCAAATTTAAAGTATATCTATCAATGTTGTTTGTTTTATAAGGTATTTTCTCCCTCCTTCCCGCATTCCTTCGTGGTGTAACGGTAGCACACTCGGTGCGTATTCGAGAGGTACGGGTTTGAGTCCCGGCGACGGCATTGCTCATTTGTCATGTACTCCTGCTTCAAAATAACCTAATGTCTCTACGGTTTAATTAAATAAACATTTGTTGTTTTTCAATAATAATTTTTCTTTTTTTAATTTTTAATAAATTAATTTTGTTGTTTCTATAATAAAATTGTTTTATTGTATTAAAGGGATAATATTTAAAAAAATTAAAACTTTTGTATGATTTATTGAAATTTTGCAGGCAAGTAAGTTTTGTGCAATGTTTAGAGTGCATGACTTAAGAACGAAGGAGGATGACTAAAGGTTAAATTTTTCATTCCGGCAGTTTTCTTCAGCTTTAAATAAGCATTAGTATAAAGAAGATTAAATTCTACAGAAAGTGTTTTATAAAAAGAAATAACATCTTCTTCGGAAGCAATAATTATATTAAGTAAAACCCTGAAACTTATGTCTACATCGACAGAAATTTCTTGCATCAATGAAAGATAAATGTGAAGTTAATGTTAGCAAAACAACAGCCTATTCAAAAATTAATCTGTTAAATTAATTCAATGATTCATCCAAAATTATTACAATGTTTTCGATTTTTTTTTCAATATGTATTAATCTGATTGGTTGCAGGTGCATTTTTTGGATTTTCCCCTTAAGTGAAGAAAGACCAATAAAAGAGGGTTTATTGTGATGTCCTCCAAGAAGGCATCCTTCCTGTTAGAAAGATAGACCCTGCTGACTTTGCCATAAATGATTCAACAAATATCTGCGCCACTGAATTTTACAAGCGTTGCTATAGTGTCTCATCAGCAGTTTATACGCGTTTTTATAGTGTCTTAACAACAAAATGAGTATTCCTGTGTTCCTCTGAGTTGATTATATGTGTCCAGAAACTTATGATTTATAAAAATAATGGGTTTAGCATGCTGCAATTATCAACTGAAGAAGAATTATAGCTGCAACAAATCCTTCTAAGAAGATCCTCTTCGTTTCGCCTTGCTGAATATGGCCGCATATTATAGTTATCTTTTTTCGAATTGTTGGAAATTAACAGTAAATTAATTAGAGTGATTTTTTTACTCGATTATTGACAGCTCTAAATTAAATTAGTTTTTAATGGAGAAGATCCTCATAGTAGGATATTGCTTACTAAATATGTAAATTTAAAATTTTTCCAAAATACTGGTCGTATTGACAGGCGGTTACCGCGAGAGAATTTATAAGGTGATAATTTAGATATTTAGCCTCTGTATTTTAAAACAACGTTACATTAAATTTATTTCTTGATTATGGAATTAATTTTAGGTTGATGACTTATGTCACCTGGAGTGTGCCTCGACGGCGGAGGAGAAGAAATTTTGATTCGCGCATTTGAAGCATACCCACGTCAAATAAAATATAGCGAGCCCTCTCTTGGGGACCATCTTCCACAGAGGACTGACTACCTTTGAAGGTGACTAATATGTTGCAGGACATGAAACAATTTCGGTAATAAACATCTCTGAAATTATCACTTCTGCAGTAGATTAGTACCATCTGGAACCGTGGAATGTAGGCTTAAAGAGATATCATTATGT